GCCATAAATTTTGCAGTCTTATAAGTTACACCACTCACAATCTATTCTATGATGGATAATGAATAAAATGAGCGTTTCAGCACATACCCATTTGTATCTTTATTCAATAAAAATGTTGGCCTGTCTTGTGGTTACCAGTAAATTTTGAACAAGAGAAAATAGGATTTTTTTTGCTCTTGGTTTTGAATGACTAGTAGGTTTATACTACCTGTTAAAACAATTAAACTATTGGCTGCTAATTTTCATATGTGACAGTGTGAGGGCTTCTCTCTCACAAGCTATTAGATTGATGTTTCCAATGTCTCTGTCACCTTCCTTATGGGCAATTCCACACTTGCCCCAGGGTTAACAATGGGCCAAGTGTCTGTTGAGTAAAGCTATCTTTGATGCTTTAAGTAGAAAACTAAGAGACTTCAAAAATAGCAATCATCTCTCAAGAGTTCAATTTGAATCTATACCATACTCCTTACACTATCGATACAATATCAAGCAGACAAGTGATGGAAATACAGAAAAATATCAATTAGGGGATAATTAGTTGATAAAACTAACATAACAAATGCATGGCAAACAGTAAGAAGAATTTCAAATGAGATCTTGAGAGTGAAAAGTTGGATGGCTGCTAATTTATGCCAGGAAATGTCTGTTCCTGTAAATTGATCTGCAAAGTTAACTGTACAGTCTAAATATTATTAAGTTTGTAAAAGTTACAATGTATAAACATTATGATAATTACATTTTTAATAGCTTTGATTATAAAAAAATAATCATTTAATGACCAGATCTTTGATAATAAAAATAGCTTCACAGTCACTTCCACTTAACAAGTGCATTGATTGAATATCTAGCGAGTTAATTGACAGTCTGTTATATGGAAGAAGAGAGAATGTCTCCATTTTATGTTTTGTTGCATCGACCGATAGCCATGGACTCGTACTCTCATATCCACCGCCAGCACCTGCACCATTGCCAATACTGCTGAGGTGACTTGAATTAAAACCTGGCATGCCTGTGGTGCTCTGGACAGCCACAGAAGTACCATCCCAGTGCCAGAGGGATCCGTCTTCAGAACAAGTGAATAAGTTGTCTGGGCTTAACGGGTGAAATTTCACTTCCCATACTTATAAAAAAAAAAAGAAAGAAAACAAATAAATGACCACTAGAAGTTTGAAAAGTGTCATCCCACTCACATTCAAACTCTGAAGCTTCTAAACTTGTCTGTCGATCACATCTCACAAATAAACCTGATCATTTCACTGAGCTTCAAGTTTTAGGTCCCTCAAGCAAAACTAAAATTTTGGGGACTTAATGTAGCAGAAGTCACCAATCTAGCAACCGGTGTTCCACAGCCATGTGGCCAAGTACTTTACAACTTTCAGATTATTAAGTGTTAGTGGTCTTCAGTTGATGCATGAACAACACCTTACACAAAATACAATCAGCACCTCTCCTGCATTCTTTCACAGAAAACAAAATCTACTTTGTGCTCAGTCATCTTTGTATCCAACCCTCACAGGTCATATTAACCTCCAAAAATGAATGCCAGCCATATGGCTTCTTTTAACCCTTTACCCCCTAAGAGTGACCAGCATCTACTTTCTCCTTACAATATCACCCTTGAAGCAAACAATAAGGTTATGAGAAAAGGGAAAATGATCACCAACTAACGCAGCTCTTGATTATCAAACAAATTCTCTTTGTCAGCACCTTGAGAAACGTATAGTGAATAGTATGAAGAACATAGATACTGATGCTAAGGAGTAAAGGGTTAAAGACATGCAGCGTGCCCAATGGTATCATGTGTCAAGTACATGTACATGTCCATGTCCTTTCCATTTTTTGACACCAGTGTCACATGACACATTTTGAGCAGTTTGCATGTTACAGTTAGATGGAGTAAATAACACTCACATTACAAAACCCACTAAAATTTTTAGTAGCAGTCTAAAAAAGCCTCTATGTTCCACTAACTACTACCACTAACCCTTTAACTCCCATGAGTGATCAAGACAGAATTTCTCCTTACAATATCAATACAGTAGCAAGCAGACAAGTGATGAGAATAAAGAAAAATATTAATTAGGGGATTATTAGTTGATCCAATACAAAATTCTTCAAACTAACATCGCAAGAGCTGTATGGTAGACAGTAAGGAGAATTGCTAATGAGATCTTGGGAGTTAAAGGGTTATGGGTTAGAACTAACAAACTCTTGACAAGGTAAGGGAAAAAAATATGGAAAGGGTGTCCAACCTTCTCCTGCATGTGCTTCCAGTAATGTGACAGGATAAAGTTCTTGTCGCATATCCCAGATACTTAGTACACCATCTTGACCTCCAGCAGCAAGTAGGTGTGGCTGCATCGGGTGTTTGTCAACACACAGCAGCGAGACACGGTCCCCTGAACTGTACACAAAATAATTTGCAAATGATATATTTCAAGCTTGGTAGCTACTTGGATCAATTTATATTGAAAATTGCCAGCCTCTAACAAAGCCTGGGTGCTTCATTGATCATACCGCATTTGTTATAAAGTAATTATTTCCCCATTGTTGGACAAGCAATGTTACTATCAGTCTTTAACAAAACAACAAAAACAAGAAAAATAAATAAAGCAGACCAGAGTTTTTAACCTTTCTAAGAAGATTAAACATTAACCTTCATTAAATATAAATTAATGATGTTATCTATAATCAATATTTAATTGATACTCACAGTAACATTGTTCTTCCAGGCTTATTCCCAGGTTGTCGAAGATCCCAAACTTTGAGCTGACCGCCAAATGTTACAGCAGCCACTTCATGTGACATTATACAAGTAATACTGTTTATAGTTGTGCTGTCTGCAGAATCTGGGAACACAGGCAAAACAATGAGATTTCACAGTCACATAATTTAAATGGATAAAATTGCAGGACATCTTATCTGGGGATAATGCTTACCCAACAAAATGATTTAATGGTAACCTTTTATGAAATCTTACTGGAGGTCTTGGGATTTCATAGAATATTTTGAAAGGCTGATCAACTTCCTGAGAAATATAAATAGTGTTTGACAAATTGAAACAGAAAGAGGCAAACAAACAGTCCTTGAAATAAAACCTGTTGGCTGTTGTGCATAAAGCTTGTCAATGTATAGCTTTGTTGTACAGTTGGTAGTTGCACCAAACTGGTATTTGGGAGGCATGGGTTTGAATCTCACTTTTTTCCTGCAAATACTACTGCAGTCTGCCAACTAAAACTCTATCTCAACTTCAACTCTCTTATTTCTTACCTATCGATCTCACTGGATGCCTCTGATCAAGTTTCAATACATTGATCCTTCCATCTTCACCAGCGGTTACTACATCAATGGAGCCAGAATTTGTAGCAAGACATGTACATGAACAGCCACGACTTCCAATATGGTGAAGAGAATTCCATTCAACCTCGGGTCTGATGGCCTGACAAGTTCAAAAAGATTTTAATATCCTTTCCTTTCAACTTCAGTGTTATAATAAAAACCAATTTTGCTTGGAATCTTATCAAACAGTATTGCATGAAATAGAGCCTGGTTTGTGAATTTACTGTACAATAAATTTTGGAAGTGAGAATTTAACTTTAAATGATTTCCAAAGCATCTGGCAGCATAACTCCACCAACCAGGGATACAATTTCACTGCAAAGTTCCAGGTGGGATGTTCACTGGAACAACTTTTAACTCTTGAGTTAAAGAGCAAGCACAAGTAGAACAAAATGTGGGTGATGCTGTAGCATAATGGTAAGTGCACTTAACTCTGGGTTGAGCAGTCAGGTTTCAAGACCTGTCATAGGTTGTGTTCTTGGGAAAAGAACTTTAATCTATAGTGTCTCTCCCCAAAGGGGTATCAGTGGGTGAAGCTGGTGAAATTTTAGGGGGAGAGGGAACCTTGTGATGGACTGGCATCCCATCCAGGGGGAAGTAGTAATACTCCTAGTTGCTTCATGCAGAAACTGCTAAGATACGCTCTAGCTGGCTGGAGCACTTGGCTTGAGTACTGACTTGAATTAACTACCTGTGTATACTACCAGATGTGGAGACAAGTACTGGGAGAGCAAAGTGCCTTGTACAAGAACACAACCACATCAGTTGACCTGAAAACCAGTATTGTGTAGTATGGATTTACAAGGTTATAAAACCTTTTACACTAACCTGGTGTTTTGAACTATATTGGAACAGGTGAACACTTCCTGTTGAAGATGATACCAGGATTCTCTCTGAATCAATACACTAACAAAGAAAGTTAGATTAATTAGGTCAGGTTTAAACACTTAAAGCAGACTGAATTCAGCAAATTGAGGACAAAAAAAGTTGAAATATCAATGTCTTGAGCATGCTTTCCTGTTAAGCTACATATTTCACAAAAACTAGGTGCAACCACATGCTGTTTTAAGAAACATCTGAGCATCACAGCTCTTATGATGATGAGAAATTTTTATAAGGTGGCCAGTGTCAAACTGTGTGGCAAGAAGAGAAAACACTGACAAGGGGTAGTGACAGTCAACAGTCACTCTGATCAAACCAATTAACTTGCCTTGCAGTTTGATCAGTTGATGCACATGCATAATTATAAGCTGTCAGGTTTACATATCATGCTAAAAGTTTACAATGAACCTTATAAGGGTCTATTGCATGTAAACTCAATGCTAGATCTTAATTTGATTGCATTTAACCCTTTCACTCGTAAGATCTGAATGCTAATTC